ACACACACACACACACACACACACTTGCATCAGCCCCTGGGAAAAGATAGGATGAAAGGCTTGCTGTTGTTAGGGAGGTCATCTCCATTGACTCCGGAACGTGTGAGTTGGGAGCACCGAAGTGTTTCCCACACTACTTTCCTATTGTGAGTGTGATATTCTCAGGAGGGGAGAACAATAGAAGTGTGCCTGTAGAGGGGAGGCTGTGTAATTGTATTTACTTGACATTACCCATCTGTGCTGGTAGAAACCTCATATAGACATAGTCTAGATTTATTTGAGAGCTTAAAATTGTACAATTGCTCTTAAAATAAAACATTTGTGTTGTATTTTTTATGAATGCCATATGAAATTTGACTCTATTCCACCAAAATAATAATAAAAATAAATAAATAAAAACCAGTATTTCTCTCTGTCTGCCTCAAAAAATAAATAAAAATTGATGTGAAGTCATTTAGAATTTTTTAAGCTTCTATTTGCTTTATTTTTATATTTTATTATATACACCTTATTTGACAGAACTATAAAATAAAACTATCAATTACAAGTAAAAATCAGTGGTTCACACAAATTGAGAGTAAGTTTTTAAACCAGTTAGCTCAGTTTACTTACAGTTAGTAGATCAGCCCACAAGTGGTTTTTAGTTTAGTTCCCTAACCTGTTAACATAAATTCAGTCAGCTTTCATACCACATGCTTTTTTAATCAAACTATTGCACATATTGTGCCAGGTTATATGTCTTTAACATGCAAACAGTAATTATTAAAACACCAAAAACCATGAATTGGTAATGTAGAATTTTATTAACAGAAAATATTTGACATAAGAGCTCATTTTCAAAACAGCATTGGTCAAGACAACAAACTGGATCCTTTATCAAAGGTACAACATGCCTTACCTAACAAAAATGGAGAATTCTCAGTGCAAACATAAAGATACTCTGAAAAACAATTTCAATTTAATGATCTGTTACAGAAAACTCCACTGGAGTCAACCTCAATTAAATATGCATACATCAAAACATATAAAAAAAAAAACAATTTAAGTAATCACATGTGGTAAAAATCACATTAAGAGCTATTAAAACAGAACAAGAAGCACATAAATCCACCTCTTTCTATTGACAAACACATGTTTGTCTTAAGTTTTTGTCAATCAATATGATGACAACACAAACGTACACCTTGGAAATGAATCTCCTACTTTCATGAGAGACGTTAATACGACTGTCCCTCGGGGTTTACGGTTCACCGCATCTCTACCAGGGTCTCCAGACGGGCCTCCTGATGTCAGGCTGTTGCAAACCAGCCGTGCTCAGTTTAGCGGAAGGTCCTGGTGGAGCGGAGCCGATAGCAGCGCTCGTTTGCTGGCCGTTGTGGAGATGCTGGAGCTCCCGGCCAGGTCCTCCTCCGGTGGAATGAAGAGTGAGGAAGTGGACAGACTCTCTCCAGCAGTGAGAGTAGCCTTCATTATAGTCCCTCTGAGGAAGCTGCTGCTGCCGCTGCTGTTTGAGAAAGCTGATGGTCATTTCCAGGATATCGGCCTTCTCCAGTTTGGCGCTGGGGTCGTGGCTGTGAAACTCCTTCTCCAGGAGACTCTTGAGCTGGTTGATGCAGCTGTTGATGCGGTCTCTGCGCATCTTTTCAACAATTGGCTTCCTCAGCTGAAATCAGATGGGAACACTGATTAGAACATGTTTCAAACTGCATACAGAATGCAATTTTGGTGAATCGTTTGGAAGAGGAATTGCATTGAAATTAAACATACCTTCATTTTGTCCTTGTCACTGAAGTGAAGATGGTCAAAAGACGAAAGCATAACTGAATGGGGTGCCATGTCCAGCTTGCTTTTCTTCAGTGGCAAAAAGAGTTGTGAGTCTCTTTGAGGAACAGCCCCCTGTATTTATACAGCAGCATTAACATTACAAAGCCATGTGGCCTGTGCTGTGTTACTGTTCCCACACACTACCAGAGACCAGAGGGCCGGCTCATCACAACAATAGAGGACATTTTTTAATTTTATGGTTAACTGCCTGCTCGCCTTCCACTGAAGGAATGTTTCCCAAGGTATCAGAGGGACGCCACACTTGAAGGTTTAGTGAAGGAATTTGGCCCTTCAGCCAATTAGAAAAAACATTTAATTTTCTGTATCAAAAAATAATGATAAATATAGGTTGTGCATGTTTTCAAATGCACAAAAGCAGGTTTGGTAGAACACAAAAGATGAAAATAAAATATTTTTGATGAACCATGCTAATTGATGTTTGCACATGTATAATTCACACTTTGTGTAACCAAAATGTAATGCAATAAAAATTCAACAGCGCAAACTGTTCATTGATGAAAAAGAATGTATGCACATACATTTAATGCAATAAAGTATATTTTATATATTGCAAAAATTCTAGACAGCACAAACCGTCCATTGATTAAAAAAATACACAATGTAAGCAGTTATTTTTTTCAAATTATTATTACTGTTTTACAAGAAAAAAATATTTCTGAGGGGGGGGGCGAGAGACCCAGCAGGAAACACAGACTCGAGTCCGTTCCCAGGCCAGGAATATTCCTTTGATAACTGTTAACAACATGACTGTCAGTTCTACTGAAGTTCGGTGGCACAACAGACGCGTGCACTTGCCAGATTACGGAAGTTCTCATGTAGCTGTTAAACAGCATGAGAACCGTGAAGGCACGCGTGAGAAAGATCAAGATGATCAAACATCTCAATCTTTATCCACTAAAAATATTTATATGAGACGAAATAATTTGATTTGTAACGTGATTAAAAAGTGACCTGGTTTTGCTTTGATTTATTGTAGCGTGCCAGCAGGCTCCAGGAGCTCATGCTCTGAGATCAGTGAGGGTGATTGCGCCGCGCGTTCTGCTGTATCCCGATCGCACGCCCAGCAGACACCAAGTGATTATCAAAAGCCAAAAGGGTCAGAATTCGCCAACTACTAGACACAGACAAAATACAAGCACGTGAGTAAAGTGGTTTTACTGTGGCAATGAAGCGCCTGGGAACGAGCAGGTGAATATTGATTATGAATGGTGCTTGCTATTTGAAGACGCTTGGAAATCCCACAGAACACCTTAGCTAACACACATACGCACTCGTGTATCGTGACAGCCACCAGCGAAAACCAGCGACATAATCATTGATATTACAATTAATATTTTAAATAATATTGTTTAACTTTTCACCTTAATTTTAAAGTTTTACTGATTTCGTTTCAAGTTTTTTTTGCCATTTTTTTTATGTGAAGCCTATATAGTTTTTCATAACTATTCATTTTAGTTTATTTAGTTAGTTATTTTAGAGAAAATGAGAATTATTGCCTTGGCAACTAGCTGAAATTAAATAAATTTACGTTTTTTATATTTTATTTGGTTTGAGTTAACATTTAGGGCCTATTGTTTCAAGTAATGTTTTCTTTATTGTTTTGGTTTTAGTTTTAGTTAATGATAATAACCCTGATGAAATCGCCTCTTTTTGTATTGTGATGGGTAGCAAAGACTAGTGTTTATGCTACATATGTAGTGTGTGTTCTGTGTGTTTGTGTTTGCTTGTATTTTTCACATATATTCTTTTGAAATACTGTGGGTTTGTTTTTGAGGACATTCCCAACATCCTGGGTGCTCTAATCTGACGAGTGCAAACAATGCACTAATTGCTCTATTGAAAATGTTAATTGCATCTTTGTTGTAAAACAAACAGTCAGTCTTAGTGTCACACACGAACTTGGTAAATCAATAGTGAGGAATTCAGACCACCTTATTGCATTTTAGCAAAAAAATATAAATTATCACTTTTGTATATATATATTCTCAACTATAGCAGATATGAAGCCTGTTCCAAGTTTCATTTGAGCTGGATATATGGTTTTGTTCCGTGATTCGTCTACGCTCAACCACCTGTAGCAGCAGGCCTGAAGACGAGGTTTGTGTGACATAAGGCACAGGGCTTTACTGAAGTTCCCATGAGTTCTGTATTGAGAGGCCAGCCTTCCTTTCCCACAGTCGGTTCATTGACTACCCACAGTAAGGAAACAAAATAAGTGTGTCTTGTTACACATCACATTAGTCACGGTGTTTGAACTCTCTTTATTAGAGGGGGACCTAAGACATAGCAAGACCATCTGGACTTCAGACACTGTTCAAACACTTTTAGGACTTTCCCAGGATTCAGCAGGAGTTTTAAAATCAGTTCAAACCTAGAAATTCTTCCTAATTCTTAGTCAGGTGTTTGTTCATATATTTCTTTTTTTTCTCTCTCTCTCTCTCTCTCTTTATTTTATTTATTTAAAGTGCTAAACAATATAGGGACATTCCATGTCAACCCAACCAGAAGTCCCCGCTCAAAGTTTTGATATTGCTAATATGGAAAGATAAACATGTATAGTGATGAAAGCCAAAATATGAAATGTCATGGGTGAATAATTACGGAGTAATCCACTATTTTGTAGAGGGAGGTCAAAATGGCAATTTTCACCTGAGATTCAGAGCCAAATTACAGGGAGTTAAAATTACTTCAGAAAGATGGCAGCATCATTATGTTACTTTCACACAGAGATTAGTAGGTCTATTAGTAAGATCTGTTGACTTTAGCTGTCTTTGTTGCATTATGTGCCAGTGGTGACCATTCAAAAATGGGGAAAAGAGCACTTTTCAAGTTTTTTCTTCAAACTTTGCAGGCATGTAACTCAAAAAGTATTAAAGATATCTTAATGCCCTTTTAGATATTGGGTCATATGATGTTGCTAAAAAGAACATTATTTTGTGTATTTGGTGTAATGAAATGTGTTTATCCGGTTTAAAGTAAAAAAAAAACACATTATTTTCCACATACTGTACATTATTGTTTCTCCTCTATGCCCCGCCTTTTTGAAACGCGTCGATTTTTACAAAGCTCATCGGTGTGAAAAAGCGAGGTGTGCTCTGATTGGCCAGCTATCCAGTGCATTGTGATTGGCCGAATACCTCAAGCGTGAGACGGAAATGTTACGCCCCTCACATACTGTGATGCCTTGTCCCGGCGCGACGAGACAAAAACATTAAAACCCATTACAAACGAGGCATTTGTTGCATCCAGTGGGGACATAATTACTGATTATAATGACTTATACTGTCTTTTTACGCATTGAGTTGCATTGCATCGTGCCGCGTAAACATAAAACCCTGCTTTCCTCAGCGACCAGCACGGATCAGCTCTAGGCATGACGAAGCGGATATCGTCCTCTTTTGGAAGACCAAACAAAGTAGTTTCGCTTTCACAACGAAACACACAGCGTCTGCAGGACATGGCGGCGGCGGCAACAACAAAACTACAGCGAGAATAAAAGTTACGCCTTCTTTCTTTGCGTGAACATTTGGGCGGCGTTATGCAAATCTTCCCACATAGTGAGGTAGATATGTGGGGGCGTGTTCGAACGAGCCGTTTTAGGGGGGGTGTGGCTGACTCTTAACTTTTATAAAGAATATCTCTTTGGATTTGAGACTTTAGTCTTTGCAACTTTACAGATCTTCTTTATGCACCAAGAGCTTGTAACACTCCAAAGAGAAAGGAAAAAATGAAATCGCATCATATGACCCCTTTAACATACTTCCCTAAAATAGTGGATTACTCAGTAGGCCTAAATATTCATCCATGACATTTAATATAATGGCTTTCATCACTATACATGTTTATCTTTCTTCAGAAAAAATATTAGCAAAATCAAAAATTTGAGCCGGGGACCTGAGTTTATACGGTATGACCCTATAAGAATACATTTTTAACCCTATAAAATATTTAAACAAATAAAATATTTTGCTTTAGCATGATGAGTAGTACATTGTGTGATTTGTTGATGCAGTCAACATTTTCCAATCATTCAACAGTATTTCTACTTAAATTTCATTTGCATAGGTCTCTTTATCTGCCCTTACCTTGTTCAGTGTGCAGCACCTGAAGAGCATAATGTTTCTTAGAATATTTATAAATTCTCTGTTTATAAGTTTTCTGTCATTTCTGTTCGGTTTGCCTTTTAAATTTACCTGGCTGCTATTGAATTTGTGAATCTGTACAGGATGTGCAGTTTTGCAGATCCGCCACTTTGAGGCAAATTGTGGGTGTAAGTTCAACATCACTTTCTGATGACAGGGATGCCACCTATCCTAACTGATTATAAGGTGTCTTGATAGGAGATCATTATTGCTTGAGTGGATAACAAAGCACACAAGAGCTTGTTTGTAATTCCATATTTATCAAATATGTAACTAAAACTAACTGATGCAATTTAAAAGTTAGTGGAACGTGTGAATATGAAGGTAGGAACACTGAATGAATAAGTACATTGCCACAGAAAAGTTTATGTAAAATAGACATTTATTACTTTTATAAAACATTTGCAGATGATATCCAGCATCTTAATTTAGTCTACCACTGGGCTTGATTGTTAGACACACCTTTCACTTGTTTAAAACACAGTTACCTAAATAATCTTTATAAAAGAATTTGTTGGTCATATAGTTGATTATATAAAATCTACAACACCAACAATAAAATATTCCAAAAAAGAACAAGAGATTAATAAAAATCATAAGATCCATTGGATCTATTCAGAAACATGTTCATAGAATATCAATATTGCATCTCAGTGTGAGATATATAATTGCTAACATAGCAGATTCAGTTAGCTTGAAGCTTCATTTTGATCCAAATATAGGAATACAGACAATTGTTCTCTCATGAAAGAGGTAGATCTGAAATAACATGTTCTCTAATAACAGAGTTAATCGTGGTAGTTCACATTCACATAGAACGGCTTCTACCAGGGTCTCCAGAGGCCAGCATTCTCCTCTTTGCTGCTGCTCTGTGCGGCTGGTGAACTGATCTGAGGTGGCACTCGTGTGTTGTTCTCTGTGTAGGGCTGCGTGTGCAGGTCATCATCCTTTAGATGCTGAGAAAATAAACCCAATATGGGTGAAAGAGCTACAAGAGCTCAAACGTCTGAATAAGACTTTAACGTTTGTTTCAATCTTAATTTTCACGAATGTAGTAATCATTTTACACAGCAAATTATTCTGTACAGTCTGATCAAATATCACTGGTCATACAGTTTCAATGAAACACACTTTCTCTGAAAGCAGATTAAAGGTGCTGCATAAGCAGCAGAGGCGGAAAACAATTCCTACGTTAGAATTTCAGTCCATGCCAATCTCAGAGTGGCATTATGAATTCTGTCTGATAAATCATACGGGTGCTGGTGGCTCTACCAGGGTCTCCAGAGCGCCAGAGTTTGCTCTTTGCTGTTGCTCTGTGCGGCTGGTGAACTGATCTGAGGCGGCACTCGTGTGTTGTTCTCTGTGTAGGGCTGCATGTGCAGGAAGTGCTTCAGCAGTCTTCTGTGGGACTCCGTCTGCACTGGACACTGAGACAGGAGGTTGACGGCCTCCTGCACACATCTGGAGCGTCCGTCACGAGCTGCAGTAGAGCTGCAGGCCGAGGGATTCTGGGAGCGCTGCTGGCGTCTCAAGAAATCCAGCGTCATCTCCAGGATATCAGCTTTCTCCTGTCTGGAGTTGGGCTGTTGCTTTAGGAACTCTTGACCCAGAAGAGACTTGAGCTTCTCAATGCTGCTGTTGATTCGTTCTCTGCGGATCTTCTCCACTATCGGCTTTCTCAGCTGAGGAAACACCAAGAACATGCATTTAGAAACACTCATCCACATTTTTATATCTCAGAAGCATATATGATTCTGTGGAGTGAGATGTTGAATATTTACCTTGTTTGTGAGTGGAAGTTGTTCTCTGCTGGTGACTGATCCAGTGATTGTAGGTGCCATGGCTGTGTGTCTTGTGTTCAGTTCTCCATTAGGATCAGATGAGATCTGTGCTCAGCTCTCTCTCCTCTCCCTCTATTTATACTCCCAAATCTCCAT